ACATGAGCATATTAAGGTTCTGTGTGTGTAAATTTGTGTAGTATAGGAATCTGGCAGATAAACAACTTACAGACTGATTCACTGCTACCTACAAGCGTGTACTGGTACTTAGAAGACTGTGCCCAGCAGGCAGGACCATAAAAGGTTTTTTGTTCCTTTTGTACACCAGGGAAATATCTAATTATGCAGCCAGGGCAGTTGAACAGATCGATGAACAGTATAAAGAAAAGTAGATTAAAAAGTATCCAGGAAAATAGAGGCTAGTTAGGTCTTTCTTTTCTGATGGATGTATTAAATGAAATCATATTCTAGCACATCCCTCTCAGCTATGATCTCACAACTATTACTTAAGCTTGGTCATATGAAAATACCATTTCTTTTCCCAGTAAGAAACAAAGGTTTGTCTGCAGCTTCTCCCCTGAGCCTCAATGACCCTTTGGGCTTGTGTGCTCAAGACTCCCTTATGTGCTGTTGGCTAACGCAATAGGCACGACACAGTAGCATCCAATTCTTAACCTCTGAATCCCTACCCCAAAGAGGTAGATAACTTATGGTTGAGCTGGCAGGGTGCAGCCTTCAACAACGCTGGAACACTACTTTAATTCATGCCCCTTGAGCTATTACAGACATGCCACTGCATCCCTAGAAACATACACGGATCATAAATAAGGTTAGATGTTATTTTAAGTAATAAACACTGAGATACAGAAACTTCATTGCAGCCTTCTGTCTTTGCCTGTCTCTTCATTTCGACTATTTTTAGTTTGCAGTCAGCATTATGACTGTGAACTCAAGGAACACTTGGACAATAGGTACATAAATAATTATGGATAGGTCTCCAGAGCTTTAAACATTAGCAGAGAATTTAAGTTAAATACTGGCTGGGACTATTCAATGGCTTGGAAACGTTGATGTGCTTATACATATTAATATAATTTCATTTCCCATGGTGAAAAACGAACCTGGACATTGGCAGTGGTGGAAGGGTCTGCACAGAAGCTTTGAGAGTTTCAAATTGATGTATTACTGAACACAATTCTGCAGAATGAGCTGGAGCCATCTTCTGCATTTGTCTGCTTATACTTCATAGCAGCAATCTCTGTGCACTTTATATAGATTGAAACTGACTCAAGCTGTGTTATTACTCGTTTAAGTGCTACCCTGCCTTGTGGTAATGCTGCAGTCACCGAAACCAGTTAGAAATATTAACTGCTAGAGTTGTCACAGAAAACATATTGCACATCCACAGACGTGCATGAGAGTAAAAAGCGAATTTTTACTGTTTTTCCAATCCATATTTATAAGAGGAGTTTAAAAAATAGTTCGCAAGGACAAAAGCTAAGTGTGTATTGCTTTGGGTTGTGATAAAAAATGGTAACAGTACAGAAAACTTGTATAAACTACTGAACGTTTTTCAGTAGCTTGCTTTTTTTGCATGTGTTTTTCAAAGAGAACTCTTTGACACTGAGTAGCCTATTGAAAAAGTCTCTATGAAGTATTAGTAAAGTAGTGCAGAAAAGTAAGGTTTTTACGCAGAGATAACAAAATATTTAAAAAAATTTTAAATCTGTATTTGTGAAAGCACTAACTGTGCAGACACTGGTGTTGGTAGGAATGTTGCAGAATTATAATGTAGATGTTCTCTATTTGTTTTTATTTCCTTTTCAAAGTCTATGAGAATACTTTGTTTTGATGTGTCTTTGGAGGGCTGGGTCATGCAGGGCAGTGAACACTTTCACCTCCATGGGTCCCCCCTGCAAATGCAAAGGTAGGAAGAAATAGTAAAGGTTAAGACTCCACTGAAATACAAATGTATCTCTGCAAGTGTATAAAGAGAAGAGGGAGGACAATTTAGGCAGAGCACTGGTTTAAATGACAGCCTTTGTGATCAGGAAGATAGTCTGCATATAATCTGAGGAACTTGGTTCTCTACACAGTCTCTGCAGTTAGGTAGGACTGCATCAGATGAGAATCAATCAGCCTTTTTTTTCTAGCAGGAAGGACTGTGAAATGTTCTACACAAGCCTCCCATTCCATGTTGTGTCACCCCATAAAATCAAGTGTGGGCTCTGGAATACAACAAGAGCCAGAGCCAGGACTTTCTGTAATTAAGTGTCTCATTTTTGGAGGGCAAGACCTCAGGTCTTGCCTAATCTTGAAAAAGGAGAAATTTAAATTCACATTTTCTGTCCTTGAAAAGTGTACAAGTCACTCTTTAAACTTGTGGTGAGTTCACAACTGCCAAAAGAGGAAACCCTCCTTTTGCTGCTGCACCCTGTGCCTGCTGGACCACTCAGGGAGTAATTTTTTGATCACTGAAATGACAGAAAACTCTCTCTTAAGAAAAGACAGGAAAAGAAAGCAAACAAGTAGAAGATCGAATCCTGCCATTCTAGTGAGCTGAATTGGCTTGAGGGAGGTGCTAACCAGCCCCAGAACAGGTGCAGAGGGAGCAGGAACACTCCTCTTTATGGCTCTGTGCAATTAAACCAGTACATCTGCTTCTGAAATGGTGCCTGGGAGAATCTTCCCCCAGTTCTGGGATCACTGTGCAACAGCTGAGGTATGCTGGGCCTGAAGGAACACAGAGGAGAGCAGAGCAAAAACCTAAAATGAAGTGTGAGTCTAAATCCTGTCAGAGCATGTGCCTAGTGGAGTCCTGGTCTCCCGTGACAGCCTGTGTGTCTTGTATTTCACAGGATACACCTGTAGAAGCAAACCACACTGTACCAGGTGTCCCACACCTGTCTATCCCTGCTCTCACAATACTTAGGGCACAGCGTGGCAGTCAGTGCACACCAGAGACTATCTCCAAGAGGCAGTTTAGACATAGCAAGCCTGCTTTGAAAGGCAGCTGAGAACGGACACGTAGGCATACAGATGTGATCAGTACTGTGTCTGTCAACCTCAGAGGCAGAGTGTAGACTCTAAACTATGAAGACATTTAGTGACCTTTATCCATGGCTCAAATTCACTGAAAGAATAAATGAATTCCCTGACAACAGGTTCTATGTCCCAGCTCCACAAAGCTCCAAGATGGTAAATGCTGCCTTCCCTCTGGGTCTCTATGGTGAAAGATATCGAGTATTTTGTTGGACTGACATATGCACCATTGGTAACGGAGACTGCTCAATAAGGAGAGAGTTACTGGAGAACCCGCAGTTTTGAAAAACATTTGTAGATTATGCACAAATGGCCATAAACTAAACCACAAGATGTTCCACCTCAACATGAGAAAGAACTTCTTTCCACTGAGGGTGGCAAAGCACTGGAACAGGCTGCCCAGGGAGGTCATGGAGTCTCCCTCTCTGAAGACACTCAAAACTCACCTGGACATGTTCCTGTGTAACCTGCTCTAAGTGGCCCTGCCTTGGTAGGGGGGTGGACTACATGATCTCCAGAGGTCTCTTCCAACCCTAACGTATCTGTGGTTCTGTGAAATTAATGAAGAAAAATATAATACATTTAGCACCCTCCTTCCCAGCTTTGCCATTCAATTCAAAAGCAAAGTTTTTAAAAAAAGATATCACCAGATGTTTATTTAGCATGCAGAAAATAATACATGACCTAAGCCTCATAATTTTAAAAAGGTAAGCTACTTTAAATAAAGTTTCAAATAAATTCAATTTTAAGGTAAGATGTGAGGAAAATTTTAGGAACCTGCTTTTGAGAATTGCTTGGCAACTTTAATTATGAGCAGAGCTATCACTGCTCAGTTTTGATCATAGAAATTCACTTTACAAAAAATGAGAAGCTGGTATTTTATTTCAGTAATGGCAATGAGTCGTCATGTGATTGATTCCGCAGAAGCAACAGAGATGTATGTGGACTAGGCAAGAGAATGAGGCTTGGAAATCAAACTGGATATATTTTTTGAGAATTTATTCCAGCACTTAATAGAAAACTGAGGTAATTCTAACAGGAGCAAAACTCAAGTCAGTATTACAGAAAGAATAAGAAAAATCACCAGTGAATTCACATGTGAAAGTACAACCATATACTCTTTAACCTGTTCAAATTTGTACATGTTTCTGAAAGACACATTGGCTTCATTTGTTGGCAATCCACAACCATTTTGAAAGCACAAATGAAACAGTGTTACTGTACTGTAACACGGAATAACATTACAATGAAAGATGCAAGACCCCTCCCTCGCTCCCTGATCTCATCTGAACTTTGACAACATCAGACTGGCATTGCTAATGCACAGGCCCCCAGTGTACATTTGGTCTCATTTCTGCATGCTCTGAATTAGCTTTCCATACCCTTTTCACTACAGATCTGTAGATGCCAAGGACTCCTAGCCTTGAGCATACAGTAATGACTGGTATATACGAACAAAACACATTTATAAAAGACAACATTTTAAAATTGAATGTGTTTTCTCTGCACCCTTCTACAGTCTGGAGATGATCTGCAGCTTGATCTCTAGAAAAATATTTCAGCTTCAGACAAAAGCATTTGGAATGTCAGGAGACTACTGGAAGTCCTGAGAACAACCTTATGAACATTACTGTTATAACTCAGTAAAATCCATTAATGTTTCCCGTAATATTGAATCTAAACATGCACCAGCATGAACCATGAATGATAAATCCAAGTTGCAATATGGCCAGATATAACTGAAACACACGGCTGTGGTCATTCACAACACAACATTGCACAATGTAGAATAGAGTGCCCCTTTTTAATAGGAAGAAGGAAATTCCAAAGGGATAATGAAACAAAAGCAGATATATTTATTTCAATGGATTTGTAAGACATGTTAAAGTTACTATTCAATAGAATAAAACCTGGATTACCAAGTAAGAAATCTTTTTGGAAATGCTTTCTG